GCCAATCATATGCAAGCCTTGGGTTGTTGTGGGTTTTTTCGGGCTATATGGCCATGTTCTAGAGACATTCTCTCCTGACGTTTCACCTGCATCTATGGCAAGCATCCTCAGAGGTAGCAAGGTCCGTTGGAACTAGGAAAAGGGGTTTATATATCTGTGGAATGACCAGGGCGAGACAAAGGAATCTTGTCTGCTGGAGCTAGGTGTGAATGTTTCAACTGACCACCTTGATTAGCATATAATGGCCTGACAGTGCCTGGAGCAAACTTTTGTTGAGAGGTGATTAGATGTCCTTGTTTGTTTGTTTGTTTGTTTGAGGAAACCATAAAAATGAACAAAATCTGGCTACCAGTATTAAAAAAAACTCTAAAATTACAACAGCACAACAACAGAGAGGAAACAAACAAGGACATCTAATCACCTCTCAACAAAAGTTTGCTCTGATATACCTTCTCACACTGGAAATTGCGATAAAAAGAACCTATGCTTCAAAGTCATTGAAAAGTCATTCATGGCACTTGTGAGTGTCTCTGTAGATTTTAGAAAACTATTTCTTGATTTAAGTCGTTGACGTGTTGGCTGATATCCGAACAGGGGATGGGCCGGAAATGTCACTGCCTTGGCCCTTTCACTATTGGCTGCTACTTCCCGGCGGATGTCAGGTGGTGCAATACCGGCTAAACAGTGTAATTTCCCCAGTGGTGTGGGCTGTAGACACCCTGTGATAATGTGGCATGGCTCATTAAGAGCAGTGGTTCTCGACCTTTCTGACACCGGGACCCCTAAATATAGCTCCTCATGTTGTGGTGACCCCCAACCATAAAATTATTTTCGTTGCCCTTTATAACTGTAATTTTGCTACTGTTACAAATCGTAATGTAAATATCTGATATGAAGGATGTGTTTTCATTGTGACAAATTCAACATAATTAAAGCATCATGATTAATCAGAAAAAATATGTTTGGGGGAGTATGGAAAACAGATTATGGGATTTGCAGTACCTTCAGCTGATTCAGCGCTGACTTCCACAGACCACTGAGACCTCCACACAGAACTCACATGTCAAACAAAAAATACTGGAGGGGTTTGGGAGGAATGGACAGTGATTTAGGGGAGATGTAGTTCACCTACATCTGGAGAGCATTGATAAGCCGAACAACTATGGATCTGGACCAAACGTGTCACGAATACTCAATATGCCCAAATTTGAACACTAGTGGAGTTTGGGGGAAATGCCGGATGGCGAGGCAGGCTTTGCGCGAGGCCAGGCCTCGCGCGAAAGAGCCCTCACCTGGCCCGTGCCCTCATTGGATGGCGAGAGAGTGAGGCAGGTGAGGCAGATGCGTGCCAGGCCAGGCCTCGCGCGAAAGAGCCCTCACCTGGCCCGTGCCCTCATCGGATGGTGAGAGAGTGAGGCAGGTGAGGCAGGCTTCGTGCCAGGCCAGGCCTCGCGTGAAAGAGCCCTCACCTGGCCCGCACCCTCCTCGGATGGCGAGAGAGTGAGGCAGGTGAGGCATCCTTCGTGCCAGGCCAGGCCTCGCGCGAAAGAGCCCTCACCTGGCCCGTGCCCTCATCGGATGGCGAGAGAGCAAGGCAGGTGAGGCAGGTGAGGCATCCTTCGTGCCAGGCCAGGCCTCGCGCGAAAGAGCCCTCACCTGGCCCGTGCCCTCATCGGATGGCGAGAGAGTGAGGCAGGTGAGGCAGGCCGTGCTAGGCCAGGCCTCGCGCAAAAGAGCCCTCACCTGACCCATGCCCTCATCGGATGGCGAGAGAGTGAGGCAGGTGAGGCAGGCTTCGTGCCAGGCCAGGCCTCACGTGAAAGAGCCCTCACCTGGCCCGCGCCCTCCTCGGATGGCGAGAGAGTGAGGCAGGCCGTGCTAGGCCAGGCCTCGCGCGAAAGATCCCTCACCTGGCCCATGCCCTCATCGGATGGCGAGAGAGTGAGGCAGGTGAGGCAGGCTTCGTGCCAGGCCAGGCCTCGCGCGAAAGAGCCCTCACCTGGCCCGTGCCCTCATCGGATGGTGAGAGAGTGAGGCAGGTGAGGCAGGCTTCGTGCCAGGCCAGGCCTCGCGTGAAAGAGCCCTCGTCTGGCCCGCGCCCTCCTCGGATGGCGAGAGAGTGAGGCAGGTGAGGCATCCTTCGTGCCAGGCCAGGCCTCGCGCGAAAGAGCCCTCACCTGGCCCGTGCCCTCATCGGATGGTGAGAGAGTGAGGCAGGTGAGGCAGGCTTCGTGCCAGGCCAGGCCTCGCGTGAAAGAGCCCTTCCCTGGCCCGCACCCTCCTCGGATGGCGAGAGAGCAAGGCAGGTGAGGCAGGTGAGGCATCCTTCGTGCCAGGCCAGGCCTCGTGCGAAAGAGCCCTCACCTGGCCCGTGCCCTCATCGGATGGTGAGAGAGTGAGGCAGGTGAGGCAGGCTTCGTGCCAGGCCAGGCCTCGCGTGAAAGAGCCCTCGTCTGGCCCGCACCCTCCTCGGATGGCGAGAGAGCAAGGCAGGTGAGGCAGGTGAGGCATCCTTCGTGCCAGGCCAGGCCTCGCGCGAAAGAGCCCTCACCTGGCCCGCGACCTCATCGGATGGTGAGAGAGTGAGGCAGGTGAGGCAGGCTTCGTGCCAGGCCAGGCCTCGCGTGAAAGAGCCCTCGCCTGGCCCGCACCCTCCTCGGATGGCGAGAGAGCAAGGCAGGTGAGGCAGGTGAGGCATCCTTCGTGCCAGGCCAGGCCTCGCGCGAAAGAGCCCTCACCTGGCCCGCGACCTCATCGGATGGTGAGAGAGTGAGGCAGGTGAGGCAGGCTTCGTGCCAGGCCAGGCCTCGCGTGAAAGAGCCCTCGTCTGGCCCGCACCCTCCTCGGATGGCGAGAGAGCAAGGCAGGTGAGGCAGGTGAGGCATCCTTCGTGCCAGGCCAGGCCTCGCGCGAAAGAGCCCTCACCTGGCCCGTGCCCTCATCGGATGGCGAGAGAGTGAGGCAGGTGAGGCAGGCCGTGCTAGGCCAGGCCTCGCGCGAAAGAGCCCTCACCTGGCCCGTGCCCTCATCGGATGGTGAGAGAGTGAGGCAGGTGAGGCAGGCTTCGTGCCAGGCCAGGCCTCGCGTGAAAGAGCCCTTCCCTGGCCCGCACCCTCCTCGGATGGCGAGAGAGCAAGGCAGGTGAGGCAGGTGAGGCATCCTTCGTGCCAGGCCAGGCCTCGCGCGAAAGAGCCCTCACCTGGCCCGTGCCCTCATCGGATGGCGAGAGAGTGAGGCAGGTGAGGCAGGCCGTGCTAGGCCAGGCCTCGCGCGAAAGAGCCCTCACCTGACCCATGCCCTCATCGGATGGCGAGAGAGTGACCAGTGAGGCAGGTGAGGCAGGCTTTGTGCCAGGCCAGACCTCGCATGAAAGAGCCCTTGCCTGCCCTGCGCCCTCATCGGATGGCGAGAGAGCAAGGCAGGTGAGGCAGGCTTTATGCCAGGCCAGACCTCGCGTGAAAGAGCCCTCGCCTGCCCTGCACCCTCATCGGATGGCGAGAGAGCAAGGCAGGTGAGGCAGGTGAGGCAGGCTTCGTGCCAGGCCAGGCCTCGCGCGAAAGAGCCCTCACCTGGCCCGCGACCTCATCGGATGGTGAGAGAGTGAGGCAGGTGAGGCAGGCTTCGTGCCAGGCCAGGCCTCGCGTGCGAAGGAGCCCTCGCCTGACCCGTGCCCTTGGGGCGGGTCCAACAGAGGCGGCCTCGCGACCCCTCTGAAATGGCCAGGTGACCCCCTGGGTTTTGCGACCCCCAGGTTGAGAACCGCTGCATTGAGCCACATCCACTGTTTTAGTGTGGTGAGATGTGTTCCACACTGGGCATGCATACTCTGGTTGCTTCTGGAGTGAGAGAATCAACCAACCACGGAGATGTTGTCCAAGGGATGCCCTGATGTCTTGCAATCCTGTGTGGAGGCTTCTCTCATGTTCTCCTCAGGAATTTGTGGGATGATATTTTAGCCATGGTGGTCTTTGAAATGCCTATCATTCTGTGTACCCTAATCTGTTTCATATTGGTCTCTTTAGTGGCCAATGTGTAAGGTTTAATTAAAAAGCTCTTCAGAGGAAGACAGAACGTGCACACTGCCCATGGGAAAGCCATTCCTCTGGCAATGCAATCTGCCTCAATAGACGAATTCCATAGGGTTGTTGTGGGTTTTTTTCAGGCTATATATCCATGTTCTAGAGGCATTCTCTCCTGACGTTTTGCCTGCATCTATGGCAAGCATCCTCAGAGGTAGTGAGGTCTGTTGGAACTAGGAAAAAGGGTTTATATATCTGTGGAATGACCAGGGTGAGACAAAGGACTCTTGTCTGCTGGAGCTAGGTGTGAATGTTTCAACTGACAACCTTGATTAGCATTTGATAGCATATTATTTGAGAACACAGAAATGCTGGACCAGTCCAACAACCACCATGTCAGACTACACAGAGAAGCCATTGAAATCCACAAGCATGTGGACAATTTCAACAGAAAGGAGGAAACCATGAAAATGAACAAAATCTGGCTACCAGTATTAAAAACTCTAAAATTACAACAGCACAACAACAGAGAGGAAACAAACAAGGACATCTAATCACCTCTCAACAAAAGATTGCTCCAGGCACTGCCAGGCCATCAAATGCTAATCAAGGTGGTCAGTTGAAACATTCACACCTAGCTCCAACAGACAAGAGTCCTTTGTCTCACCCTGGTCATTCCACAGATATATAAACCCTTTTTCCTAGTTCCAACAGACCTCACTACCTCTGAGGATGCTTGCCATAGATGCAGGCGAAACGTCAGGAGAAATGCCTCTAGAACATGGCCATATAGTCCGAAAAAACCCACAACAACCCAGTGATTCCGGCCATAAAGGCCTTCGACAATACAAGAATTCCATAGTTTGCAACTTGGTGTGCTGAATACGGAGATTGCATCGAAGTTAATTGACGTGAGCTGCAGTTCTGTCCGATTGACCTGTCGTGCTTTCTGTGTTTTTCTTCTTCTTCTTCCCAAAACAGGTCTAAGAGGGCTAATCAACCTTGGGAACACGTGTTTTATGAACTGTATTGTCCAAGCACTTACCCACACTCCACTACTGCGAGATTTCTTCCTCTCCGACAGACACAAATGTGAAATGCAAAGTCCCAGCTCATGTCTGGTCTGTGAAATGTCTACGCTTTTTCAGGAGGTGAGTCACCCTTTCCCATCCATTACCTGTCCTTTGGGCTTTGGAGGTGTGGCTCCGCTTCCGTTTTTTGGTCAGGATTTCATTCCAGGATCATCAGGAGACAAAAGGGAGATCAGGACGATGGCTTGCAGATCAAAATGCTAAATCACTGTTAGTGCAGAGGAAAAGTGGAAACTTTATTTGCAGGTTATCACTGTCCATAGTTGAACCCCCCCAAGCCATGATTTGACACTAGAGATGCTGAGAAGCCAAATTCTATGCCTACTATCACCTAATGTACCTGTTCTGATTTACAGACAAACTCAACTTAAGAACAAGAACCCGTCTTGTTCGTAACTTGAGGACTGCCTGTATATGGAAGGTCTGGTTGTGGATCAGCAGTTTGGAGTAGCGGTCCTCCTTGCCTTCCATGTCTGTGCATGCGAGGAAGGGACGTTATCTGCTCCGAACAAGGCATTCCAGATTTAATAGGACTGATCTTTTAATCATGTTTAAGAAACCAGGAGCCAGCCTCCCTCCCTCAGCCCAGGGAAGGGATAAATGGATATGGCTCCAGCTGGTCAGACTCTTCTCCACCCAGGAGGCCATTGCCTCTTCTAACACTTCTCCTGGCTTAAACTAAATGCAGAAGCATTGTTGCTCAGCAGAACATCTGCACTTATCCTGCAGTTTTAAACATGTTGCTTGGAGTAGTAGTAGTGGTAGTAGTAGTAGTAGTAGTAATAATGATGATAATAATAATAATAATAATAATTGTATTTGTTGCACACTTCTCATGGCTTAAACTAAATGCAGAAGCATTGTTGCTCAGCAGAACATCTGCACTTATCCTGCAGTTTTAAACATGTTGCTTGGAGTAGTAGTAGTGGTAGTAGTAGTAGTAGTAGTAATAATGATAATAATAATAATAATAATTGTATTTGTTGCACACTTCTCCTGGCTTAAACTAAATGCAGAAGCATTGTTGCTCAGCAGAACATCTGCACTTATTCTGCAGTTTTAAACATGTTGCTTGGAGTAGTAGTAGTGGTAGTAGTAGTAGTAGTAGTAATAATGATAATAATAATAATAATAATAATTGTATTTGTTGCACACTTCTCCTGGCTTAAACTAAATGCAGAAGCATTGTTGCTCAGCAGAACATCTGCACTTATTCTGCAGTTTTAAACATGTTGCTTGGAGTAGTAGTAGTGGTAGTAGTAGTAGTAGTAGTAATAATGATGATAATAATAATAATAATAATAATAATTGTATTTGTTGCACACTTCTCATGGCTTAAACTAAATGCAGAAGCATTGTTGCTCAGCAGAACATCTGCACTTATCCTGCAGTTTTAAACATGTTGCTTGGAGTAGTAGTAGTGGTAGTAGTAGTAGTAGTAATAATAATAATAATAATAATAATAATAATTGTATTTGTTGCACACTTCTCATGGCTTAAATTAAATGCAGAAGCATTGTTGCTCAGCAGAACATCTGCACTTATCCTGCAGTTTTAAACATGTTGCTTGGAGTAGTAGTAGTGGTAGTAGTAGTAGTAGTATAATAATGATAATAATAATAATAATAATAATTGTATTTGTTGCACACTTCTCATGGCTTAAATTAAATGCAGAAGCATTGTTGCTATGAGAAGAGTGCAACAAAAAAATATATTATTACTACTACTACTACAACTACTACTCCAAGCAACATGTTTTCTGTTAGAAATGTAATATAATTGACTGGTTGCCCTGACACGACAAATAAATAAATGGCTTAAATTAAATGCAGAAGCATTGTTGCTCAGCAGAACATCTGCATTTATCTTGCAGTTTTAAACATGTTGCTTGGAGTAGTAGTAGTAGTAGTAATAATAATAATAATAATAATAATAATAATAATAGTATTTGTTACACACTTCTCATGACTTAAAATAAATGCAGAAGCATTGTTGCTCAGCAGAACATCTGTATTTATGCTGCAGTTTTAAACATGTTGCTTGGAATAGGAATAGTAGCAGTAGCAGTAGCAGTAGTAGTAGTAGTAGTAGTAATAACAATATAATATAATATAATATAATATAATATAATATAATATAATATAATGGTATTTGTTACACACTTCTCCTCATGGCTTAAATTAAAGCAGAAGCATTGTTGCTCAGCAGAACATCTGCATTTATCCTGCAATTTTAAACGTGTCGCTTGGAGTAGTAGTAGTAGCAGTAATAGTAGTAGTAGTAATAATAATTATAATATAATATAATATAATATAATGGTATTTGTTACACACTTCTCCTCATGGCTTAAATTAAAGCAGAAGCATTGTTGCTCAGCAGAACATCTGCATTTATCCTGCAATTTTAAACGTGTCGCTTGGAACATTCAGGTTTGCTGTGTTTGAAATTATTTTTCCATCTATTGAATGACTACAACGTTAAAAAGGGGGTGCGTATGCCTGGGAGGGGGTTGAATCCAGTGACTGCATTATGGAAGACGCTACTGGGTTCAATGAATGCCTACTGCTGGGGCTAATTGTACGAAATGTCAGGACAGAGAATTTATGTTGCTGCAGCTCCTTGAAATATATTGGAGCTGTGTCAGCAGATTTCAGTTGCCACACGTGGGCTCTGGTCCCTTGGAGTCATTCCTGTTGGCATCCGACAGTTGCCTATTGATCCTTTAGTCCATCAAAGGCTTTTCTGCATTCTTGCATTACTGCAGTGCAGTTTCAAGCCTATATATATATATATATATATATATATATATATATATATATATATTGCCTAGTTTCCAACAGACCTCACAACCTTACAAGCCATAGATTTGGGTGAAATGTCAGGAGAGAATGCTTCTGGAACATGGCCAGACTGTCCCAAAAACTCACAGCAACCCAGGGATTCCGGCCATGAAAGCCTTCGACAACACAAATGTATTAATTTTGTTCCAGTTTTGGAAAATGGATTTCAAAAAGCTAAGCATTTCTCCCTTGAGAACTGGGTCATTATCCACATTAAAGTATTGTGTTTATGTTTGTAAAGAAATGGAAAAAATATTTGATTATTCTGTTTTCTTCCCCCCGCCCTGTTTCCCAAGCAGTTCTACTCTGGGCACCGATCTCCTCACATTCCATATAGGTTATTGCACCTGGTATGGACGCATGCGCGGCATTTAGCAGGGTACGAGCAACAGGATGCGCACGAGTTCCTCATCGCTGCATTAGATGTGCTACATCGGCACTGCAAAGGTAAGGCTTTGGGCCTGAGGGGTGTCCCTGTTTGGGCCTCTTCACACACAAAGGTAAATAGTTGAAGTGTTAACTGATGATATACCCAAAATAGTACCTTTGGACCCTTTTAAAGAACTTGAAACACTTGTGACTCATCCATTGTGTATACCAACCTTCTTTGAACTTATATCACAGGTATGGGCAAACTTTGGCCCTCCTGGTGTTTTGGACTTCAACTCCCACAATTCCTAACAGCCTCAGGCCCTTTCCTTTTAACTTAAGCAGCCAAGTGGGAAGAGCAAGGGGCCTGAGGCTGTTAGGAATTGTAGGAGTTGAAGTCCAAAACAGCTAGAGGGAGGGCCGAGGTTTGCCCTTGCATGTTATATCAGGTTCATCAGATGCAGCAGAAAGGGTTATTGGCCTCTTCCTGGAAGTCTTTTGTTTGTTGAAAGTAGCCTTCACACTGGAGCTGTCTCACATGAGGCTTCTCTCACACAGAGGTTTACCTCACACTCCTCAGGACGACACTAGCTTTGGTCCATCAACTCCTAACAGGCTTTGGCCTACTGACTCTTTCAGTGCTTGACTCACACTTTTGTAATCAAAAATGCTTAGTTAATATTTAGTATTTCTGACAAGGATTATTGGCCTCTACCCAGAAATCTTTCGTTGTTGAAAGTAGCCATCACACTGGAGCTTTCTCACATGAGTCTTCTCTCACACAGAGGTTTATCTCACACTCCTCAGGACAACACTAGCTTTGGTCCACTGACTCTTAACAGGCTTCAGCCTACTCACTCTTTCAGTGCTTGACTCACACCTATTTAATATTTAATATATCTGACAAGGGTTATTGGCCTCCTGCTGGAAATCTTTTGTTGTTGAAAGTAACCTTCACACTGGAGCTTTCTCACACGGGGCTTCTCTCACACAGAGGTTTATCTCACACTCCTCAGGACGACACTAGCTTTGACCCACTGACTCTAACAGGCTTTGGCCTACTAACTCTTTCAGTGCTTGACTCACACTTTTGTAATCAAAAATACCTAGTTAATATTTAATATTTCTGACAAGGATTATTGGCTTCCTTCAGGAAATCTTTTGTTGTTGAAAGTAGCCATCACACTGGAGCTTTCTCACACGGGGCTTCTCTCACACAGAGGTTTATCTCATACTCCTCAGGACGACACTAGCTTTGGTCCACTGATTCTAACAGGCTTCAGCCTACTAACTCTTTCAGTGCTTGACTCACACTTTTGTAATCAAAAATACCTAGTTAATATTTAATATTTCTGACAAGGATTATTGGCTTCCTTCAGGAAATCTTTTGTTGTTGAAAGTAGCCATCACACTGGAGCTTTCTCACATGAGTCTTCTCTCACACAGAGGTTTATCTCACACGATCCTCAAAGACAACACTAGCTTTGGTCCACTGACTCTAAAAGGCTTCAGCCTACTCACTCTTTCAGTGCTTGGCTCACACCTAGTTAATATTTAGCATTTCTGACAAGGGTTATTGGCCTCCTCCCAGAAATCTTTCGTTGTTGAAAGTAGCCTTCACACAAGAGGCTTCTCTCACACAGAGGTTTATCTCACACTCCTCAGGACGACACTAGCTTTGGCCCACAGACTCTTAACAGGCTTCGGCCTAATTACTCTTTCAGTGCTTGACTCACACTTTTGTAATCAAAAATGCCTAGTTAATATTTAGTATTTCTGACAAGGGTTATTTTCCTCCTCCTGGAAATCTTTTGTTGTTGAAAGTAGCCGTCACACTGGAGCTTTCTCACACGGGCTTCTCTCACATAGAGGTTTACCTCACTCTCCTCAGGACGACACTAGCTTTGGTCCACTGACTGTAACAAATGATTTCCTGGAGGGGGTAAATAACCCTTGTTAGAAATCTCAAATATTAACTAGGTATTTTTGATTACAAAAGTGTGAGTCAAGCATGGAAAGAGTTAGTAGGCTGAAGCCTGTTAAGAGTCAGTGGACCAAAGCTAGTGTCGTCCTGAGGAGTGTGAGGTAAACCTCTGTGTGAGAGAAGCCTTTGAAAGTAGCCCATTCGTTTCTCTCACAAGGGGTTCTTCCAAAGCAAGGCACTGTGAGTTGCTTTATTTTGACCACATCTTTTCAGCAAGTAGAGCTCTTAGAAACGATCAGGTGACTGATCCTAATGCTATATAAGTCTTCCTTTTTTCCTGCCACTTATTAACATATTAACAGATGCGAGTAGGTGTCAGTGTCATTTTTTCCCCTGCCAGATGTCATGGTAAGCCCCAGTGAGTGGGTAATCATACCTTGCTGTATTATTGTTGCGAGCGCAGTCTTTGGAGACCCCCTCCTCTGTGGGTCTAATTGACTTGGGTAATTGAAAAGGGAGCCATCCTACTATCCTCTTGTGGGCAGAAATGGCGGTCTATTAAGAGCATCCTGCAGGGATGTTCCCTGGAAGCCGTGGAAAATGTGGAGAGGCCATTTCTTGCCTTCTTTGTGGAGGTAACAAAATCTAAATGCTTTCCAGGCGCAAGGATTATCTCTTGTTCCTTTACGCAAAAGCAGCATTGAATGAGCATCTTCAATACTGGGCAGACACTATAGTTTTGATCTTAAAGTAATATATGAGCTGGATTCAATGAGTGGAATCAACACAGAAAGGGGATACTTGGGTTTCCCTTATTGTGCAGGCCTGCTTCTCCCTCCACAATAGACGCAGCAGCAATGCAACTTTGCATGACTTCTTTAAGAGGAAACAGAGAGCCCATTGTGTGTTCTTTACAATTGAGTGAAGTCTATTATTCTGGCTGGAAAAAAAAAACTGAATCCCTTCTGGATAGGCCATTGTTGAGGTGTGAAATGCTCCGCAAGTTTAGTGTTTCCCTTCTTTAAAAGACTGAAATGCAAGACCTTATAAACTGGTGGGGGTTGGTTTATTTGTAGCCGGCAAGCACCTTTCCTTGGAAATATTACCGTCAAAAAGAAATCAACATCCTTCTCTCAGTTGGCTTAAAATCTGTCCATCACAAATTTAGTCCAGGAATGTATACAATAACTTGGAAGTTGAGCCATGTGTTGTTTTGGGATGTCTTTATAAAGTGGTGGCTCCCAACCTCTTTTTGACCAGAGAGTACTTGACCAGGGACCACTTTGACCAGGGACCACTTGACCAGGGACTGCTTTGAGCAGGGACCGCTTTGACCAGGGACCGCGTTGAGCAGGGACCGCTTTGACCGGGGACAGCTTTGACCGGGGACCGCTTTGACCGGGGACCGCTTTGACCGGGGACCGCTTTGAGCAGGGACTGCTTTGACCAGGGACCGCTTTGACCAGGGACAGCTTTGACCAGGGACCGCTTTGACCAGGGACCACTTTGACCAGGGACCACTTGACCAGGGACTGCTTTGAGCAGGGACCGCTTTGACCAGGGACCGCGTTGAGCAGGGACCGCTTTGACCGGGGACCGCTTTGACCGGGGACCGCTTTGACTGGGGACCGCTTTGAGCAGGGACTGCTTTGACCAGGGACCGCTTTGACCAGGGACAGCTTTGACCAGGGACCGCTTTGACCAGGGACCACTTTGACCAGGGACCACTTGACCAGGGACTGCTTTGAGCAGGGACCGCTTTGACCAGGGACCGCGTTGAGCAGGGACCGCTTTGACCGGGGACAGCTTTGACCGGGGACCGCTTTGACCGGGGACCGCTTTGACTGGGGACCGCTTTGAGCAGGGACTGCTTTGACCAGGGACCGCTTTGACCAGGGACAGCTTTGACCAGGGACCGCTTTGACCAGGGACCACTTTGACCAGGGACCACTTGACCAGGGACTGCTTTGAGCAGGGACCGCTTTGACCAGGGACCGCTTTGACCAGGGACCGCTTTGACCAGGGACAGCTTTGACCAGGGACCGCTTTGACCAGGGACCGCTTGACCAGGGACTGCTTGACCAGGGACCTCTTTGACCAGGGACCGCTTGACCAGGGACCTCTTTGACCAGGGACCACTTTGACCAGGACCGCTTGAGGGACCGCTTTGAGCAGGGACCGCTTTGACCAGGGACCGCTTTGACCGGGGACAGCTTTGACCGGGGACCGCTTTGACCGGGGACCGCTTTGACCGGGGACCGCTTTGAGCAGGGACCGCTTTGACCAGGGACAGCTTTGACCAGGGACCGCTTTGACCAGGGACCACTTTGACCAGGGACCACTTGACCAGGGACTGCTTTGAGCAGGGACCGCTTTGACCAGGGACCGCGTTGAGCAGGGACCGCTTTGACCGGGGACAGCTTTGACCGGGGACCGCTTTGACCGGGGACCGCTTTGACTGGGGACCGCTTTGAGCAGGGACTGCTTTGACCAGGGACCGCTTTGACCAGGGACAGCTTTGACCAGGGACCGCTTTGACCAGGGACCGCTTTGACCAGGGACCACTTTGACCAGGACTGCTTTGACCAGGGACCTCTTTGACCAGGGACCGCTTGACCAGGGACCTCTTTGACCAGGGACCTCTTTGACCAGGGACCACTTTGACCAGGGACTGCTTTGACCAGGGACCTCTTTGACCAGGGACCGCTTGACCAGGGACCACTTTGACCAGGGACCGCTTGACCAGGGACCACTTTGATCAGGGACCACTTGACCAGGGACCACTTGACCAGGGACCACTTTGACCAGGGACCACTTTGACCAGGGACCTCTTGACCAGGGACCACTTTGACCGGGGACCCCTTTGACCAGGGAAGCTTTGACCAGGGACCACTTTGACCAGGGACCACTTGACCAGGACTTTTGACCAGTGACCTCTTTGACCAGGGACCTCTTTGACCAGACCCTTTGACCAGGGACCACTTTGACCAGGGACCACTTTGACCAGGGACCACTTGACCAGGGACCACTTTGACCAGGGACCACTTGACCAGGGACCACTTTGACCAGGGACCACTTTGACCAGGGACCACTTTGACCAGGGACCGCTTTGACCAGGGACCGCTTTGACCAGGGACCGCTTTGACCAGGGACC